AATCATCATGATCCATCCCCTGTCACCCATTCCCAGCTTCAGGGAAACAGTCAAGCTTTGTTCCCTTCTTATTAAATTGGTTCCTATGGCCTGACCAAGTAGGCACAGACTACAGTTTGCTGCGCCTCTCATTGGTGAACCATTCAATTGTGTTCTGTTCTTCATTCACTTGGAGCAGAATTAAAGCTAGCGAAGGAGAAATCAATATGGAGGTAGATGCAAAGCCACTGCGCTGTGTGCTGAGGCAAGGCAGGAGATTATGGGGCAGCAGAGCGGGGACTGAACAGAAGGCGATCAAACCATGAGAGGGGAGGATTTTAAAGCTGAGGGACCTTATTGTGAACCAATTTGGAAAAGGCAAACTCCTTAGGGCCAGGGAGACCAGGCCAGAGAAATGTATATTTGAGGAGTAAAAATTCCTTAGGAAACTAGTAGAGACCACCATTTCTCTAGGAAAAAAAACCCTTTCAGACTTTCTGGTGGAGGTTGGCCTACATTCAAAGTCAATTGGCAGCTTGCTTTAATGTATGAATGCCCTTTCTCAATGGACTATCGATGCCATCATGTTAGATAGTACAGAAACTATTGGCATGCAGCTATTTTGGCAAAACAGATGTCTAAATTAACCACAACTAGTGCCAAAAATGAAACATGAATTCACCTTTCAGAGTCAATAAGCCAGCTGTTGGCCTGTCTCAGGGAGGGTGCATCTAAATTCATTGCTACACAAACCCAGGAGCTAGACATTGTCCAAATAGAAGTTGGTAGCTCTGCGGGAATGAGAAGGCGATAAACTGAATTCCACCTTTTGATGGTTTGGCTCTTTTAGAAATGTACATTTTTTTAAAAGGTGTAAGCCCCTAGAAACTCATCTGGCAGTCGCAGAGAGAAGCAGCTGAAGCAGGTACAGCAATAATCGAGGGGAGGGGGGGAGAGGGGGGGAGGGGAAGAGAGAGAGAGAGAAGGGAGGAGCAGAGACCCAGCCTGAGTACCTCAACCCTAATGCTCCCTGGACTCAGATCTGTGCAGAGACTTTTGGTGCAGCAGGGTCCACACCATTCCACCCCTCACTCCAGCCATAGAAACTTGGGAGCAAAAACTGCTAGGAGTAGCCAGCCAGAGACTCAGATGGGCAGAAGCAGAGAGTAGCAGCTGAAGCAGGGACATGCAGACTCTGATATCATCAGAAGGCCCAGGGGGGGAGAGGGGTGTGTACTTTTTAAAATAGCTTTTGTTGTGGACATTCTTCCTTTTTTGCTGATTGGCTGTTCACTCCAGTCTTTCCTGCCTCTTCCCTTACAGTCGCTTTATTCCAGCCTCACATCCCATCTTCCATGTACCCCTTATTTTCTACCCCCCTTTAATGTGACCTCTAGCTTCCTTGTCTCTTGAAATAATCCTCTCCCAACAAAGCTCCATCCTGCAAAATTAAAAAACAACAACAAAATCATGGAATTAACATGGCTTTTGTGAAACTTCATAGTGTTCACCTGTTTGTATGTTACATCCCTCCCCCCGCAAACCTTTGTCTGTCTTGTCTATTTAGATTGTAAACTCTTCAGGACAGCGCTCTTATTCTATATTTGCACACTGAAATCCCTAGGCACTACCATAATACAAAAATATTTGGGGCAAACCCTGGAATTTGAATGGAGAATTCAACAGCAAGATCATACAGATTGATAATTACACTGTACAACTGGCTTCTCTTAAGAGGGATACACTCACAGAATGCAAGAGTCAAGTCACTATTTCCAACAATATTGTGGGCCATGTAGCCACAGCAGAACTGCTTAGTCACTGGTTTAAAATCTCCTGCTCAGGATTCAAAAGAGAGATAAGCATTTAGCAGATTTGCTCCCATATAAATTCAAATCAAGCACAGCTTTTTGGATTGAGCAGGGGGATGGAAATCACAGACTCTAAACCCAGAAGAGACCATTGTGATTATCTAGTCTGACCTCCTGTATAACAGGCCTCAGAACGTCCTCAAAATAGTTCTTAAAGCACGTCTTTTAGAAAAACATCCAATCTCGATTTAAAAATTGACCTTGGTAAATTGTTCGAATGGTTAATTACTCACTGTCAAAAATTACGCCTTATTTCCAATCTGGAACACTTAAATTACTTTTAATCTGTGCCTCCATTTCCTTATCTGTAGAAAGGGCAATGATTCCATTCCTATGTATTCACAAAAGTGTTTAGATAAAGACCATTTGAAGATGTAAAGTACTATAGGTTTTCACCAAAAACCTCAGCAGCTAGGCAGGATGAGAGAATGATAATGAAGTCACACAGATTTCTACATTGTGTGGGTGACAAGGCCTATTGTCTGCCCATTTTGCACCCTCCCACAACCGAATGGGCTCAAGTACAGTTTTTCACTTCACAACCACATACATGAGACGTCAATACCATCCTCAGAATGACTGAACTGGGGAACAAGAAATTATCCAGCAGCGTTGCTTACACACACGCGTCTTTGTCTTGTAGACACTGACATTCATTTACAGGAGATCCCCCTAGATAAATGCATCCAAGTCTCTTTCAAAGGCTGCACTGTCAAACTGCACTAATTAATTTTCACAGAATGCAAATGGTGGATTCCAGCACTCCATCCCTTACTTATGAACTTCACCAAGGAAAAGTGATATCAAGGGATGAACTACTAGTAACCTTCCCATACTAAAATTGCATCCAGCCCTGGGATCTTTGTCTGCACTATTGCTTCCATTGACTAACACAAGTGGGAGTTTTTTGAGAGTGCAAAATACCCTAGTAGACATGACCATAGAGAGAAAAAGCTCTTCCTCCTAACATCTAGGATAAACTTCTAGTCCTTAACTTCCAGTTGCAACCACTTCCCTAGATTCAGAAAAGGCCTATTGACCCCTCTGAGACCTTTCCATTCTGATCACAGTGCCAGAAATCTCATCCAAGCTCTAATCAACTCCCTTCTGGCCTTGATGCCTGCAACCTTTCCCCCCTCAAGTCCATTCAAATGATGCTACTAACATCTTTCTAGCTTGTCACCAACTGCGTCGTCCCTTCTAACTTCCTCCACCGGAACCTCTTCTTCTGCTGCATCAGACACAAAATTCTTGCCTTATCAAAACCCTTTGCAATCTGGACCCAAACCTACCTATACATCCAGTTATCTTATTGTGAGGGTCGATTCCTGCCTTTGCTATACCAGTGATGCCATTCGATCACCCATTCGTCCACACTCACTCCCATGCCGCACTTACACATGGTAACTGGCTCAGAACTGTACACACAGCTAGTCTGTGCTAAGACATCCTATATCTGTTACCCCAGCCTCCTCATCTTCCAGCTTATCTCATCCACCTACGGTGGCTTGTCTTTTATACCGTAAGTTATTTGGGACAGGGACTGTCATTTGCTAAGTGCATACACTGCAGATTCAAAAACAAATATTCACAACAGCAAGGAGAATAGAAGGTGTCAGTTGTGAACTAAACATTTTATAGAATAACCAGTTATTTCAGTTCAAGATTTACTCCCGTATTAGGAAGGTTTGAGATGCTTGTGGAGATGGTTCTGGAAAAAGTGTAGAAGCCACCTGATGAAAACTCAAACGACCAGAGCAAGATTCAACGTAGCAGAGTTGGTGCTTTGAGTGGTGGGTGCACCCCAATCTGTGGCCAGTAAACAACCAGACATTACCCTTCAAGGAAGATTAGTGAATTACATGTTCAGACGCTACAATGACAAGGATGATATAAGGAAATTTTTCCAGAACGACTAAGTGACTTAAGAGCCCAAGTCCCAATGATTTTCATTAAAATCACGTAGGTGTTTTTGAAAGCTTTTCCCAACATCTATGGCTCCAACTAATGGGGTATTGTGAGAAGTAACAAACATTACAGAGTATCAGATAATCTTTATTCATCTTATTTTAAATGGACTAGTGCTTTTTTCAGAGACCAGGGCTCACCTCCAAAGACTTTTTACTATCATTAAATCTTGAATATCACTGAGCAATACTTACAAGCATTTCAAGAAGTTCGCTCATTTTAATAATTCAGATCTTCAGCACAGACTGCCAGCTACTATTCTGTACAAGCTATGCTCTAGTCCAGGGGTGGGCAAACTTTTTGGCCCGAGGGCCACATCGGGGTGCGAAACTATATGGAGGGCCGGGTAGGGAAGGCTGTGCCTCCCCAAACAGCCTGGCCCCCCGCGCCCTATCTGCCCCTTCCTGCCCCGACTGCCCCCCTCAGAACCCCGACCCATCCAAGAGCCGGGCAGGACAGTCCTGCGGGCCGGATGTGGCCCGCAGGCCGTAGTTTGCCCACCTCTGCTCTAGTCTGAGCAAAACAAGAGATGGAAAAAGGGAGAATTTTTTTTTTGTTTCCAGATTTGAAAAATAGCTGCCACTTATGTTGCTCCGAACGTGAAGGTAACACTCACAGCATAAGAAATAGACGGAGATACTCACACAAGCTAGATTCCACAATACCATGACAGGAGTCCCATCCCGTGAGATGCTGAGCCCTCAGCTCCTTTTTACAGCAGCTGCAACTAAATGTGTGCAAGTGGGAGCTTGGCCATCTTCCAATAGTTTCTCACATTTTAAGTCTTTGGGAGAAAGGGGTTGGGTGGGGTTTTTTCAGGTGAAACATTTCACATTAACAAAAAGAATATAGGCAGAGTGTCCTATTTTAGACTGTATAGATATTAGCCGATACCTAGCACTTATTTTCATTAAAGGTCTTTTAGACCTATACCGTTTTCATAGATGAAAACAGAGGACCAGCAAATTCATTTAACACTTCACAAAGACATAAAAAGCAACAGCAAAATATTTAGCATAAACTGTTGCTAATGCAGGCCTTTGATCAGCATAGTGTTTGTTTATGGCTTTATAATTGATGCAATCCAAGCTCATAACTTATGAATGAACCAGCTAAATTAGCTATTGCTTGTAAACAGATCCACAGAAATTCCCCAGTTTCACAAATTGGAAGGCAGCTTACCGAAGCAGCAGTTCTTTCGGAAGTTTTTTGTTGATCACAGCTTCGTCATTGTTTGAGAACATCTGCAAACAAAAATAAACAGTTTAAACCATTTAGCCACCCTGTATTTTCATTATAAACCATTACTTCTAGGAGCAAAACTGCTGGTTAACAAGACAGTTTCAACTACATCAACAGGGCCAACTTCGTGCTTAAATTCTCAAGTTCTTAGATTGGGCACCAGTGTGCGATTGGCATTTTATGGCTGATGTAGTTTTGCTCAATTGGGCCACAAATGCTTCATGGGTTGATAAAGAGGGATTAATTATAAACAGTTCTGAGAGAATAGGGGTTGTTGGGTGTTACAGGCTGAAACCTACTGTATGAAGGAGCATCTGCTCACATATGGTGCTAACAAGGGACTTTCAATCCCTGTCACAGTGCTGTGAAGATGCCCCAAAGCACAGGCATTTCCAAGGAAAGAGAAAAATGGAACATTACACCAAACAACCTTGTGCCACTAGTGCCAGGGGACAAGAAGAATCGGAAGGAAAGGCAACAATGAGGCACTCAGGGAGCTGCAATGTACAGGCAATGGTGATTCGGGAAGGGTGTGTGCTGGCTCCTGTTTCCTTGACAAAAAGTGAAGAAAAGAGCAAGGAGAGCTGATGAGGAGGAGGTATTGATTGCAACTCCAGAGCCTAACTCTAAGGGTACCACCACTGCCTGTACAATTGCAGTGAAAGGATAAAGGAACAGCTTTTGTGAGCTTTGAAGAAAAGTCACCAGCAGTGCTTTGTTCCCCCACAGGATCGTGACCACAAAGCACGTCCCGAAGAGTAGTATGAGCTGCATAGATCTGCAATGGGAAGAGAGGACTCAGGGAGAATACTACATTCCTCTCCATTGGCATGCAAGCAAGAGTTTGTTCTCTCTCTCACACACACACACTCTCTCTCTCACCCCCCCCCCTCCTAAAGATTATTCAATGACATAGCAGTCCACTCATTTACAAAGGGGCTCGCTGATCAGCTAATCAATTTTAAAGCCACCTCACTAGCAGTATCAAAAACAGACTAGCCAAGCCTCAGGTTTCTAGTTACCAACAAGTCTTATAAGGAAGGCAGGAGGGCAGAATCTCGTGCTCCCATGGATGATCTGCATGTATTTAAAGGCTTAGTACTTCCTCACATTGAAAAATGCACTTAAACCTGGGGGAGGGGCAATTAGAGAATACCTCTGAATACCCAGATCACTGATGTGTGCAGCCTTGTTGCCCTGTATTCTTGGGTCAAGCATTCAAGTTTCCCATACCTATCATACAGTAATGCTGAAGCACATTTCCAACTGACAGTGAAAGAGTATTATATCAAACCTGGCAAACAAACAAGTCTAAAAATAACAAGCTTCATTCATTAACAAGGTTTCTAACCTTTCTCCCAAAACACATGCAAGAACTGTTGTGTTTGGATAAGTCATACCCCACAAACGCAAAGCCTAACAAGACTGATGAGCAGTGAAGTTACATTCTGAAAAGGTTGATTCTTATCAGCTGATTAAGTGGGCTTCACTAAACCAATCTGGCTGAATAGATGCAAGGCAAATACACCCAGCATTATCACACCACAAGGTAGGTCACTCTTCTGTTGACAGAGGATCAGATTAAGAGTTAAAAACGGACAGTAGAAATCTCCCATGTCTTAAATAGGCTGTCTGAAATACAAAAGGCAAAGTAAGGAAAGACATCTGAATGTTAAAAGTGCTACAGTAGACCAGAAAAACTCCAAACTGTCCTTACACATATCATACTTTAACACGATAAACCACCATGCTGCATATATGTAGGCTCTTAGGTATGTATCACCTGCAGATAGAGGTAATGAAGAAGGTGGTCTGTAAATGAAAGTCCACAGAATATGGGTTTCTTTTCCTATATAAAAAGTAACACACGTACCACCATCCCAAGCAGATATCAGAACTGCTCTTTGGAAATAAGGGTAAAATTTTCAATAGCACTTAGTGATTTATAAGCCCAAATTCTATTTTCCTACCATTAATATTATCTGATGCCTTGCAGGTAACCATAGTGTGAATCACAAGTTTGTTGTGCTGGACTTGGGGCTGACTATGACCGGAGTACCAAAGCAGCATTGTCAACGTTCTGGGAGCTGTGAGTTGCCTACAACAAAACCCACTTGCTCAGTAAGGAAATGAGATTCTGGATTAAGTCCTATTGACAGAGTAATACAAAGGTACAGAGGTGTACCTGACCTCTCCCCCCATAATTGTCGGTGCCAGGATTGTACGTTTGAACCAACATTCCACACTCGGGGGGGGAGGGGGAGAGACAAGCCAGATAACAGGATAGCAGTTAGAAAGATTCATGCGAGAAGAGATTATCCAAGGCACATAAAGTCCTGAAATAGAGATGACACCTAGAAGTGGACAACTGAACTTCTCATTCATTCCCTACCCCTCAAACCCACCTAAACTTGGCTATTAAGTTAAAACTGTTTCTTTTGGATTCTGACCACCACAGCGACCCATGCATTACATTAATTACCTCCAGTCACTAGCTGAGGCTATACTTCAAGGCTACTTGGAAACCAGTTCTTATAGAATGCAGCTGCCTGATTCGAGTTTTCCACAGGCAGCATATTATACCTGACCACTTGCTTCAGTCCATTCCAGGTGCAATTCAAGGTGTTGACCTAAATCTATAAAGCCCTTCCCATTGTTTGGTTTCTGACTACTATAGAAACTGTCCTTCACCTTGTGCAATACTGAGGAAGTTGCAAATTGTTGATGGTAACAGCTTGTAAATTTAAGGTGAGGGGATTAGAGGCAGGACATTCTCAGTGAAGAGCCCTCATTCTGCTCTGAAAGAATCCGAGTTTGGTGACATTCAGGCTACAGGGAAAGTCCCACCTATTTTCACAAGCCTTGTCGGAAAGCATGGTACTCAAGTGATGAGGGATTGACTAGGATTGCTAATGTGGCCAGTTGGAAATCTGATTTTTACATGCACTTCAAGTTCTATAAATGCATTGTAAAAATCAAAATAAGATTATACAGACAAGAATTATTTATACATCATTATTTCCTCCCTAAGCACTAAACGGGTATGCATGAGGGGGGAAACAAGCTTGGCAAGAACTAACCTTTAATTATTTGGCAGTGTATCAATGATAAACCAAACAGAAGAACTGACACAAATTCCTCAGAGTAAGAGGTCCTTACCTATTCTCTCCATGTGCAATTGAAATGGAAAGGGAGAAAAAGAGTAAAGGCAGAAACCATTTGATGTACAGTGTAAATCTGCAGTCTTCCATGTTTACCAATCTGCTTTCCAAGTAAGGATTGTGCTTACCTGCACAACTTTTGAAAAGGGAGACTAGTTTTATTGTGGTGTGGGGGCTCACGAGCAAGTCAGCACCAAGAATACACCTAACTTCTGAAATGTTAGAAGTTAACCAGGACTTCAAATCTTTTGACTTTATTTCTAGAAGTAATTTTTAATGACCTTGGTTTTGCTTTTCTTAACATCCCTCCAACACCAGATGTTTTTCTGCTGAATGGGTTTTCTTGCCAGAAACTATAAGAAAACAAATGCATTTATTGTGTGTTAATTTTGCTGCCCATATAAAATGTAAAACCTACCCCAAACCTCTGCCCCCACAAAGAATGAAATCCACCCCTCATGTAAAGCCCAGGATGTTTGTGGGGAACTACACAAGAACAAAGGGGTAGAGGGGGAGTATAGAATTTACACCCCCCCCTCCATCATGAAGGCAAGCCACGGACACAGTAACGCAGCTCCTCCCCAGCCACTTTTCCAGTTTATCTGTTGAAACTGTTCCCACTCCCTCCAGTCGCCTCTCTACTCTGCCTACCACCACCAAAACAACCCTTTTCAAAGGCAGTATATAGCCCTTCTGATGTGCACAAGGCCCTCTATAGTATCTCAGTTCTCATATCTCCCCACCGAATAGCTACAGCAGTGCTTCAGTGGTGTTGGGCTGGGCAGAGGTCTTCCACACTTGGATGACTATAACCCAAAGAACACAGCTTCACTGCAGTCAGTGTTTAATACCACAAACTAAGGTGCAAAAATATCTTAAGACAGGAGGTAACACACCGCACTCCACCATGGAAATGGAGTGGAATTCAAAATGGGGAGTAGCACATTGTACAGGCTGCCATAACCTGCTACATGACTAGGGAACATTTGTGGCATTTTGGCAAGATACATGCACCAAGTAAAATAACCAGAAAAAGGGAGAGAAAGACAAGAGTAAGACTGTCCTGATTAAATAATGCTATTCTCTTACTGGCCTCTGAGGGCAATGTTTGCTTATATTTTGAAATGATTCTTTTGTTACCATGGCCAAGATGTGGACAACATGCCAACGTCACAATACCTAAAGGAGTTGGTCGTTAGTAGGTTAGGATGGCTTGCGTTTCCCATAAATATATTCCAGCTCATGTGCCAAAGCTGGAAAATTGGCAGAACCTGTGGAATTTTCCAGGGCATATGTCAGCTAGAAGTTTTACATTTCACACACAGCCATTTCACTGCTCTGGAAATATTTCTCGAGCTATTGTGCCTATGCAGTTCTGCAATACTTCTACATGGAAATACCTCCCCTATTATAAGAGACAGGAAGGAAAAGGGAGAACACACAGGATTCATTTAATTGCAACTATGTGTTAGGCAGTGTGACTTTGCAACTCTAAATAAATTATAAAGCTGATGGATTTTATCCTAAAATCAACTCTTTTAACAATGTATTAAGATATTAATTGGGCTACAAGCTACATTTATTGACAAATAAGAAGAAAAACTCTAACCCTATTTGACTCATGGCTAGAATTAGCTTTTGTTTCCAGTGTTCTGATGAGAGTGTGCATACGAATACAGGGAATGCATTTTGGTAAGAACTTTGTTAGACTAATGCCATAGGTGATAGCTATAAGGAAAGGATCTTTCAGGTGCAGTCACCTGACATAACTTGCTGGATGCCCTTTAATTTATGCAAAGTCTTCCTTGTAGACTTGCATAGCTAATAAGAAAGAATCCCAAACAGAACAATTTTGCATTGGTTACTAGACCGATGCCTGTACAGAGATTTCTGTCATTAAATACCCATTTAAGAATACTATAGTACTTCTCTCCAGAATGTAAAGCCACCACAGTGATCCAACCCAAACAGAAATCTAACTGAATGGACTCTGTATGCCCATGGACAAAAGTATCTGAAAGACTCAAATAAGTAAAAATCTTACAGCCTAGGAAAGTGTACAGCCCGAAAGGGGGGGGGGGGAGGGGAAAAAAAAGACTTCTTTTACATCGATGTCACTTGGCAGAAAGTGAAAACTATCAATTTTCTAAACTGTCTAGTTTGTTTTGTCACTTTTTCCTTTGTCCTCCAGCGCATACTATGCTATGACCATCCCCTCTAGTTCTTCAGGATATTAGTTATTGCAAACTGACAATATATCTTGTCTGACACTATTGTAACTTTTAAGAAGTCATACCAGTGTAAGCAAATTCATCTACAATTAATCACCTTCATATAGTAAGGATGCTGAAGTTGCTACTTATGCATTTGCTATACCAACCATTCATTAGAGAGCATAGTGATTACAACGGGGTAATATTTTAGGCCATCAATGGAGGACTGAACAATGGTATCTGCATAAGGCGGCAATATGCATTGTCAGCAATGTAGTTCCGGTAAACCTACTTATGTGTAAGTGAACCAGAGTATGTTTTTATAATTATGAATATTCTCACATATGCAACAGTGATGTATAACATATTATATACATGTACAAAAAGGGTATTTGAATATAATACATGTAAAGTTGTACAAATGAAACAATTCTTAGTGTACATGTCCTAGATAAATAAGTTACAATATACATTAGTACTACATCATCATACTATTGCAGCAGTTATTTCAGAGCTTTTCCAACCGCGCTTACACGATCAGAGGCAGAGCCTCAAAAAGTGTGGGTGCAATGAGACTGTGGGTTCTGCAACTTCAGTCTGACAGACTATAGTGTGGGTGAGTATATTTAGTTTGGTGCCAGGCTGTGCCTCCCACCAAGCCTTAGTGAAGCTTATAATATTTTGCCTATAAATGAGATTTCCATTTGCTGAACATACTGGAAAGTTTGCTTTTAAAATACAAAATGTACAACTGGAGAAAACACAAACATCTCTATATTCATCTCTCTCAGGGACCCACATGCTGATATGCCCATGTTGCACTGGGGAGTAGAAAACTTTATTTAGTGAGAAGGGTGCTTAGAATTTAGTTAATGCTGAATTTAAGAAAACAGTTAAGCTTCTAGTCCTCACAGTTCCAAAGAAAACTTTATGACTATAAACCAGTGCAGTCTTGTCTTCCTGAATCGGAAAACAGCCTAAAACAAAGAATATGAACAGCTTAGGACCCCAATTCTAACCAGGCTGTGTGCTGCAAAGGTCTTCCGGGCTGGTGAAATCTTAAGAAATTTCTGTAAATGTCACCTCTGGCAAAGTGAGTGAGTGAGCGTAAGTAAGAACAGGAGGAAGTTGAACCTTCGAAGAAAAACTAACAGTCTGTGTTTTTCAAGTTCTCTTTTCAATAAGATTTATAATCTCTTACTTTTATTAAAACATCTTAAAAATGAGTTGTCGTTTTAAGACCTACTCGGTTTACAAAAACTGTTTGGGAACATTAATCTATAGAACAAAGTCCACATAAAATTTATTACTTTACTTTATCACCTTAAAACCTTAACGCAATTTTCAGAGTATTGGCTTCACCTTCTAGTCTTTGACACATGTATTGTAACATACAGTACTAAAATCTTCCCTTTAAAAAGAAAGTCTGCCCCTTCCCCCTTCCAAAAAAACATGTAGTTAATGCACAGTAAACTCTGGACAGCACAGCAATCAGATTCTCTTCTCTCCTATATGCAAGACAATGACAGCAGCATCTAAGCTGCCAAATTCAGGATGTTATCAGAGGGAGGAACTGAGACCTCATGTATTGTCTCTGCTTTATCAACAAGTGCAATTTATATGCAAGCAATTTCAAGGTTAAATTCACATTCCCTCTCATTGGAAGGATGGCTACGATGTATATTTGCATGCTAACATTTTATTCATTGTTCATTTCCATCTAACAAGCGGTTTACTTTTGTGGGTACATCACCTGAGAGGTGTGGCATCCTCTATGCACTCTTTTAAAGAGACATATAGCAAATACCACCACATACAAGGCAGAAAGGAGAGGCGGTGTCCCTAGTGTGTACCAACCTCAAGGGGCGGAAATGCCTTTTGACAGACATCAGTTAATGGCAACATGCTTAGTGGTCAAGAATCATATTTTACCTCAATCAAAATGACAATGGTAGCTCTTTGTGGGGTTTAAACACCAAGCAGTCAGAAGTATAAGACAGTTGGTTGTATTAGCAAGGTCAGGAGTGTTTACTATGCTGCTGACAAAGTCAGCTGGTTCTCAGCTGAGATTGCATCTGGCTTTAGCATCTGTGAGGGGTTGTTTTTTTTTAAATCAAATCACACAGGACTTTAAGATTAAGAGAAACAGTGCCAAACGCAATAATCTAACACTAAGTGTTAGCCTAGATGTGGACCTTGAACCTGAACACTGTTCTTCTAAAGCATGAAATTCAAGGCACCACAGAAAAATGGATGCAGTTTATCTGGAGCTTTCCAAGCTAACAGCTGATAGACACAAGTTCCTCCTCTAGCCTATGTTGTCACATTGAGACCTGTGGTTATTCATCTTAATGCTCACCCAACTGAGAGACAATACGGTGGATGCCTGCCAAATCCCAGTCCTCTGACAATAGCTCCAGTGTGCGTGCATGTGTGTGAGAGAGAAACTAAAACAGCCCAACAGAAACTAGACTGAAATGCAATGCTATTCCTATTGCAAATATTCAAGTGTTCAGCCAAGTGTGGGCTGGCATCTACAGAGAAATAGGGAGTCAAAGAGAACGAGAAAGGAGATTTTAGTTTTCAGGATTTAACAATAAGTACAAAGCTGTGGGAGAATGGGAGAGTTAGAGCAGCATCCACACAGACGGCCTGACACGATAAGATGACTTCAGATATTTCCGTAAATGTGTAGAGTTGTCCATTTTTGGCATTAGTTTCCTAGTTACTATAAAACATGTCTAGACATCTAAAATGTAAGATAGTGTGATTTGTTAACAAGATAGAAATTAAAATAGATGCTCTATGAAACACTGGTATAAATTCTCAGCTCAATATAATTTAAAAATATTGTAGCTCACTTAAATTCATTTTCTCATAATGCAGTTAAATAGGACACCAGTATTCTTTTAAAGGCATGTGCCCAACTAGAAGAAAAAAAAAAAATCTTTTCCATGGATTATTCTGACACTTTAGTATGTGAGGTTAAAAAAAAAAAAAAAAAAAAAATCTTGCAAATTGTTAATCTAGACTGTGAACTAAAATCTGGAAGTATTGAAACTGTAGTTGATAAGTTTAGTATTTGTAGGTGCTAATTCACATCCCCACCTGAAATACTCTAGTTTGTTTGAACATTATAG